ACCGTAGTCTGGCCATTTCGGAGTTGATTTGATTTGTGAGGTTTAACGGCCCAAAACCATCATATGATTATGAGAGATGCCATAGTGGAGGGCTTCGTAAAATTTCCACCACCTGGGGTTTTTTAACGTGCACCCAAATCTGAGCACACGGGCCTACAACATTTCCGCCTCCATCGGAAATACAGCAGCCGCAGCCGGGATTTGAACCCGCGACCTGCGGGTCAGCAGCCGCGTACCTTAGCCACTAGACCACCGCGGCGGGCGGCCATTTCGGAGTTGAACGAGACTTCGAGCAATGGCGACTTCCCAATGAAGCAATAACGTCAGGTTACTTTCGGCGATGCCCGTAATCGACTGCTCCCGTGGACACTCAACAAGCACGAAGATACTACTGCGAGGTGGCAACGTGACGCAATCATCAACTACGCGTAAGGCCACGCTGCGATTTTCGTTCTCGATGTCGGAATCTGGAGAAACACAGTTAGCAAAACTGACAAACAAATCACGTATATTAATTATCGCTCCATACTCTTTCAGAAAATCCATGCCCAAAATGACCGGCCGAGAAGAATTGGGCAGTACAAGAAATGACGCTACAAAAGCCGACGCACAAATCTCAAGCCTGGCGGTGCACCTTCCTATAGGGGATACGAGGTGTCCTCCAGCAGTGATTAGTTGAGGGCCGTCCCACGTTGTCAGCACCTTGTGTAGATGGGTGGCCAATGAAGCACTCATCACCGTGTAATCGGCTCCCGTGTTGGCAAGCGCAGTCACCGGATAACAGTCGATGGAAACGGGAATGGCAGCGGGCAATCTGTTGGCGGTTTCAGAAACAGGCTTTAACGGTACGTCGTAAGGCAGTGGCGGAGGGTATTTGTCGGTTTGCGTGACAGCGGCCTCACCTCAGGAGGTCGCCGTTTTCAGTTTTTCCCCGGTGTGGGCTTGCGCCACTGACACCAGGGGACCCAAAGGCGGGTCAGGTGCGGTGCGTTGATGTGGACAGACAGGGTGACCGTGGCTGTTGTCGCGGCGGGACAGGAGTGTGATGACTACCTTCCAAGTAATCTGCCATTTCTTGTGGGCGCTCACTATAGCGTGGACAACGTGCATCTGGGTGGAATCCGCATAGGCCTATTCGTCGGTAGTAACAGTCGCGGTACATGTGTCCAACTTCGCCACAATGGTAGCACAAAGGACGATTGTCGGGTGCACGCCAGACGGTGGGCTTCCGCGGGCCAGGACAAAAATGGGCCTGAGAAGGCAGGCGATGGGCTGGACTTACAAAGCGTCTGGGGGCCCCAGCAGGTGGATGAGCAAAATGTGCCGTTGACAGAGTAGAGACACGTAGGGCATCCGCGTAGGAAAGCGTTGGAGGTTCGACTTGCGATGGTGGTGAGGACTGAACGAACTGCCGGATTTCGTTACGAACGATGTCTGTAAGAGCAGCGCTACTGGGAGGGGACGCTGCATGAAATTTCCAAAGTTCTTCGCGTACTACTTGCCGTATGAGTTCTGTGAGGATCTCGCTGTTACCACCTCCTGGTACAAGCGAGCTTGCAGCGGACATGGCCGTCTGACGCTCATACTGCGACAACCGCTGCCGAAGCATGCGCTCTCATAATTGTGGCCTCACGTATGAACTCCGACACAGTTGTAGGAGAGTTGCGCACAAGGCCTATGAAAAGTAGCTCCTTTACGCCTCGCATTAGCAGGCGCACCTTCTTGTCTTCTGGCATGTGGGGGTCAGCCCGTCGAAACAATCGCGACATCTCTTCGACAAACATGGGGTCGCTCTCGTTCGGCATTCGAAACCGCGAAGAAAGTGCCTGCTCTGCTCTCTCTTTCTGTTCGGGGTTACTGAACGCCTCGCGAAGCTGCCGTTGGAATTTCTGCCAACTTATGAATGAAGTTTCGTGGTTCTCATACCACACTCTTGCCGCGTCTAAGAGGGAGATATACAAGTTCTTCAACTTACGGCAATTGTCCTAGTCATTGATGGCAGCGACCCGGTCGAAATGGTCAAGCCAGCCTTCGACATCCTCACCGGCATCACCATGGAATGGGTTGGGTGTGCGAGGCGTGGTGATGACACAGGGTACGCTAGCAAATGGGTCATGCCCGGTTTGGGTTGCGAATGTGGCAAACATTGTCCTCACGGAACTTGCCAAGGGGCCGTACTGTGGTGGTAGTCCTTGAAGGCGGTGGCTGCTTCGATGGATATCAGCAGACCCTTGTGCACTGGCGATGGCTGCTTCTGGTTCAGGACCAGCAGGCATAAGACGTTGCAGTACAGTACCCAGCACATCCACCAGTCTGTAGCGAGAGGAAACGATAGACAGGAACTCGAAGTGAAGGACTGTTTACTCAGCCACATCTGCCATTCACTTCTTCGCTCTCGTCTTTTGCCACCAACACAGCGTGGCAATGTAGTACTTAACACACTACAGTAGTTTTTTTTTATATGCTAATTTAAATTTAGTTCGTTATATCCATTTACCAGTCAATTTTAGTTCGTTACAATGAGGTTTAAAATGCATAGTTCTCAATGGAGCTTTCAAGGGGAATTTTATTTACTTCGTTATATCCATTATTTCGTTATATCCCGTTACATTATAACGAGGTTTGAGTGTATTTTTGTTATGCATCACATTTTCTTCATCATAAATCTGGGCGTGAATATAGGGGTGCAGCCAGTGTGCAAGTAAAACTTTATATTTATCTACCTTGAAAAACGAATGTACTTATCGTGTGTTATAACCTCTGGAAATCCTCATTTCAGTTGCATTTGCTACCTCACTATTTATTACTGTTATATAACTGCTTATTACCAACAGCACATGGGATCTATTCAAAGGAGTTGTGGCCCACTCTTTCAAGTAATTATCAATTAACCTCAGTATCAGAGTTTATTGCTTCACAAATCAATCACTGAAAATTTTTCCGAATCCACCAAAACTTGAGGAAAGAATGTGGCAATATATATATGTGCATTGAAACATGGGAGCATGAGTCAGTACGGCCTGTTGCTATTGCGGGGAGTGCAGAATACTCTTTTTGCCAGTTGGCATCACGTGGCACATAACGAGCTGGCAGCTGCATACTACCAGAAGGCATAAAGTCTGCCAGAACGAGACCTTTGCTAGGGATGAAGGAAAGAAGTGTAAATTTAAGGGCTCGTCTTCCGTGTTAGACACAATATCTATGAGCACTAACCGACAATCATGCCAAGAGAAGTATACGAGATATTATCAGAAGTTATCGTATTGTAAATGTGAAGAAAAAGTGGATGAAAAGATAACTTTCCACCGGCTGAATCCGAACCTGCAACCTTCGAATAACATGTCCGATGCTCCACCACTGAGCTATGGTGGCGGTCATCCCTCTGTCCACTTTATAGGGTATATATATATATATATATATATATATATATATATATATATATATATATATATATTATATGTGTGTGCATTGAAACGTGGGAGCGTCAGTCAGCGCCACTTATTGCCATATCGGTGACTGTGGGACACTCGTTTTGACTGTTGGCATCATGTAGCACGTGATCATATTACAAGCAGGCAGCTGACAAATAATAACAACATCCCCTCTAATAACACACCATATACTTATCTTGGCAACATTGTCTGTTAGTGTTCAATAATATTGTGTCTAACAAAGAAAACGAGCTCTTAAATTGGCACCTCTTTCCTTCATGCATAGTGAGGGTCACGTTCTGGGAGATTTAAAGCCTTCAGGTAGTATACAAGGAATTATTGGTCAGCTGCCACCTTGTAATCAATCATCTTGTAAACATCTTGTAATCATCTGGGTACCTGCCCACATACTCTTCAAGTTTGGGCTTGTTGGGGCATTGTGACAACTGCAAATAGCACTAAGAAATGGGGACACAAGAAGAGGACACACGACTCAGTGCCCACAGACGTTTCAAAGGAAACATACTTGTTAATCATATCGCAGCATCTGTCCTAGCTAAGGCCAGTGGCATCATCATTAGCAATATCTGTGGAAAAATGAAACATCAAATGGACTCCATGTAATCAGGCCGGAAATACAACAGAAGGATGTTCATTTATTAATAGGGCATACATATATAACTTTCTATCCTTTCCAGCCCCACCGCGGTGGTCTAGTGGATAAGGTACTCAGCTGCTGACCCGCAGGCCGCGGGTTCGTATCCCGGCTGCGGCGGCTGCATTTCCGATGGAGGCGGAAATGTTGTAGGCCCATGTGCTCAGATTTGGGTGCATTTTAAAAAACCCCAGGTGGTCAAAATTTCCGGAGCCCTCCACTACGGCGTCTCTCATAATCATATGGTGGTTTTGGGACGTTAAACCCCACATATCAATCAATCGATTCCACCCTTTTCATCTATTAATTAGTTATGCACCTCCCCTTTGCGGCAGTTGTGGTGAGAGGCTAATGATTCTCCACTTTTTGTTCGAGTAACAGCAAGCAGAAGCTGAATGCTAGAAGCACTTTCGTTTAGTCGGCCAACAGCTCATTCCATTGCGTGTACATTATTCCTTGCTGCAGAATCATTATTTGTGCCGAATCCCTTAAAGTGTCATAGCACACCTTATCTCAAGAGAGTGCTGCTTTGATATCTGTGTTTTGTGTTAACCTTTGGGCTCTTTTTTACAAATGCCTTGTTAGTCAGTAGTGCTACTTGTGATATTTTACCATTGGCGCATTTTAATGTGGCATAGAACTTTCACGTGTGTCTTTGTGTTTGTTGTACATGGAACATGTTATTGTTTTATTTTTACTTCATATATCATGCACATATTTTACTGTGGCTGTTTTAGGGCCAACTCATATCTACATCTCGAAATTCATCTTTTCATTGTCGTACATAAACGCCTACCTGGTGCTCTTTGCCCATATTTAGCCCTTGTGCCATAAAACAGCTCTTTTATCCAAGCATGGTTCTGTTTAAAATATTCCAGGCTTTCTCTAATTATTATTTTTTATGTTATTATTAGGGCAACTTTTCGGCATGTGCTCGTGACAAAGACTGTTTCAAGTTTCGCTGCAACACAGAGAAGATGGTGCAAGTGACAGTTCAACAGACTGCAGCCACCCCAGAGCTTGGCATTGAAAGGTTTGTTAGCTGTCTATTCGACTGCTGTAGCCGACTGTTTAAATCATTAGTTTGATTAAACATGAGTTCTAACAGAATGGTCTTTGTATGACTTCAGTGCTGATAATATTTTCATTTAGTGGCACTAAAAGGTTAGTTATTTGTGTTTTGCTAATTTATAGTTATTGTTGCTTTCTGTTGGCATTTTATGTAGAACATTGTTATAGGTTTTCTCACTAGTGTCTGTAGAAACCCTAGTGGGTATACTATTCATATCAACTATGACAAGTTTTTGATTAGCATAGAGCATCAACAGAGGAACTTTATGATGGATTTAGTTAAGTTGCATCACCTCCAGTAGCTGTATTGTTAACTTACGAAACAAAGTGCTAATACTAGGACAGGTACTAAGAGAGGTGCAAAAAATAGGAGTATGAATCAGCATCAAGGTTGGGGGAGTAACTATACTAGAGGGAGATCGCCATAGTGTCAGCAGCATTTCCTAACTCAGACTTTGGTCAGACTTCAGGGTAATCAGTGTTAGTTAATATAGCAAAGATGAAGCACTTCAGGAATAGCAGAAAATGTTTACCAGACATCCACATTTCAAACATGCAAGTCTATTGTCAGATGCTCGGTATGACAAAAGCTTCACAGAGCATTAGCATTATAGAGTAGTCATGGTGATTGAATAACGACTGTTGGCTTACTTTTGATAGAACAGCTGCCATAAAGGCCAAAGCTTGCCTGCTCGTTACAAATGACTAGTTATATAAGCAGTATGGTCCATTTGGAGTCACTGGGTTCCCTTGGAGGGAAGGGTGCTGTAGACATGGCTTAAGTATGTGGTGAACAATTCGTGTCAGTCTCGCAGAGGTTGCCAGTTAAGCTGGCAGAAAATTTCTCATAGGTCAGTGTGGCTATTGTGTTTGAAAGATCGGCCAAATTATGGGTAATGCATCAGCTTTTAGCATTTTTAAAGATCTTGCAATAAATGTCTAAACTGAACACTCGGCGAAGGTTGCTTAGCCTCCTGAGTTTCTTGGCCTGACATTCTTGGCCTATGGACTAATGCTACATGTGCATCTCACAGAACAAAAGCACTTTCGAACATAAAAAAAATTTAAGACACTGTTCTCATTGAGATGCTTTATTTTGTTGAATGGTGTGGTGTGTTTTGTGTTTTCTTTTTTATTTGTTCTGTTTGACATATATAAATTCATTTTTCATCATACCCATCTGTAGTTGCTTGCCAAGCATGCTGCCAGTCAGACCTGTCCTGTATTCATTGAGGTCTCTTCCATATCGCTCTGCTTCTCCACACTCTTACTCAGTGCGTTGGCTGCCAACAAGTCAAATACGCACTGTCAGGTTAAATGCATTGTAGACAGCTCTTTTGAGCCTATATGCAATCTTGCTAGCTTCTGCCATTATGACATTTTTTTTAATGCGAAATTGACATTAGTTCTATATCACCTTGTTTGTACACCAGGTGAGCTTTAATGAAGATCTAAAAAAGACGCAGGTCATCAGCGACAAGCTTGTGACTCATAGATTGGCCAAATAGCTCATGAAACTTTGTCTTGTACATATTCCAAACTGGGAGCACATCCTTTTTTTTTTTTTTTCTCACGTCAGACTCCCTCTATTTCCCTAAAGGGGCACTGACCTCAAGTTTGAAGTTCGGGATGTGACCTTCATTTGATTGCTCAGTGTGCATAAGTATTTTTGACGAAATGCGAATAGTGTCCATCACCTGGAAGTTATTTTATTTCAAAGGTAGAGAATGTTCGAAAGCTCAAAGGAGCTTTCAGCCCCCTGTGGCATTGAAACTATTGTGATGTGTTCGGTGTAGCACAAATCCTTGTGAGATTCTATGTACTGCTAGCGATGACGTCAACAGTCCGAGTGTTCTTTTCCTGGCACCGACTGGTGCCAATGCCTGGGGATGCTCTCACTCCTCATGCCTGATCATCATCACGCCGCTTTCAATGATTTCATGAAATCGCAAGGCACCAACTGCCAATAAAATACAGGCAAAAGGAAAGAGCATCATTTGCCACATGCTTATCAATCAGCACGCTGGAGAACTATTGTGAGCTGCAGTTGTGTTGTTGGAAGCTTGGAAAAAGTGAAATTAGTGTGCCGTTTCATTACACGCACGGTACACGCCAACTCGACCACAAGCTATCAAAGTAGCCTATACCTAGATATCTTCGCTAACAAGTAACACTGAGGTAGTGTTAATATTGAATTTTAGTTCAGCCATAGACTTTTTTGCACTAGCCTAATACCGGGTTACTGCAGCCATAACTGTGAGAGGCTGGATAAGTGGGGCCATCTGGCGGCACAAACAAGGAGCTGGCAAGCACAGAACTGTTATTGCTGAAACCTAACATATTGTATTTCGTCACTGGTGTGCATTCGCTCTACCTATATTCCATAGACCCCCTTTGCGAATACTGAAATGCTGTGCCTGCTAAAATTATCTAACATAGCCAAACGACTCACCAGCAACCATGGGTCAAGCATGGGTCCCTGGACACCCTCTCATCATCGCTTGGAACGGTGTGCATTTTTGAATCGCTGTTTTGCAAAGGGTCAAAGGAAAAATTATTTGCAACATCACGAATCGTGACCAATCCAAGTTCCAGAACTGCAAAACTAGTCGACATATTCAATGGCAACGATGGTGATGCTGGTGACAAGGCCTGACTGAAAGTATGCGCCTATTAGTCGAAGTGTTAGCTGAGCAGCATAGCCTTGCGTCAGTTTTTTCTGTGTACAAATTGCCTGGAGGTTACCGCGAAAAAGCGCTACCAGTGCTACAATATGGTGGGCTTGCCGGCCACTTTGAATCATACTAGGTATCATTGACATAAATCAATCAAACAGAAAGTTACTTCATCCCACAGTTGCATTTTGGGTCAGGAATGGCTTGTAGTAGGTCAATAATTACATGTAAAAATTTTGACATGCATAAATTAGATGCCAGCGCTCCTTTAAGTATAATTGAACTGGCCAGTAACTAGGGTAGTGTACCACTTGTACAGTAAAACCTCATTGGTACCATTGTTAAGGGGCACATATCTCGTGATATTTCTCAGTTTCTCAGGCTGTTCTGGGGTGCACTTAAAAGAGGAAAAAGTATTGAAGCACCTGAAGACACAGTGGGCAATTTGTATGTGTCTGTGTGCCTAACTCTATTTTTATCTTTTAAACGTAGCCCTATACAGTATGGATAACCATCTTGTACAAGAAGCTGCATTAATGTATTTCAGGCGAAATCCTTTGATCCCTTAAACCATTCTTCTGCAGTGACCTTGACTCACCCTTGCTTTGTGTCTAATTAGCAATTTTCTTGATTGCATGTTGTTGCTCTTATTGTTTGTGAGAGCAAGAAGGATGTTCAGTGTTTATCTGCGTGAGAGGACGAATGTGTTTGAAGGAGAAATGTAGCCCTGCCGAGGTGTTCTAGTGGCTAAGGTATTCGGCTGCTGACTTGCAGGTCGCGGGATCGAATCCCGGCTGTGGCGGCTGCATTTTTCAATGGAGGTTAAAATGCTGTAGGCCCGTGTGCTCAGATTTGGGTGCACGTTAAAGAACTCCAGGTGGTCAAAGTTACCGGAGCCCTCCTCTACGGCGTCTCTCATAATCATATGGTGGTTTTGGGACGTTAAACCCTACATATCAATCAAGGAGAAACATAATTTGTCTGCTCTCAATAGGATTAGAAGTATGGTGGGTGGTGCAGTTATCTAAAAGAACCTAAAGGCACACCTTGCAGTTCGCCTTTGCCAGTTTCTCGTCTCATTCACAAAGCCATTTAGCGGAAATCTCCCTGGTCATCCAGTCTTTGCGATTCACCGTGTTCTTGATTGAGTCAGCTTTCAATAGAAGATAAAAAATTAAGGGACCCTAAAATTTCGCCTTTAGTAGTTGAACGCGATAGCGATTTCGTGTTCTTGGTGTGTGCTTTGAAGACTTCGTGCATGAAACATCTTCGAACTTGCTATGCACCCAGTATGGGGCCTTAAGGGAATAGGTGCAGTAGTGTGTGTGCTTTTTGGAGTGGGTGACTGCCTTTAAACAACAAAGCCATTATGATTAATCAATCATTTAATCAAATAATCAGTTTTATCCCTTTTCACACTTCAAAGAGAGGCGACAGGATTAAAAGCTACTACAGCTTGACAGAGGTCCTGCCTCCTTTACAAATGACAGAAACATATTTCAGAGAAAAAATAAGCGCTACACACTAAAAACAAAGTAATACGTGATAACAATACAATTACAATAAAAAAAACAAAGTTTATATGCATCAATATATATTTATATATGCACACAAAAAGGATATGTGCCTATGAATGGAAATGGATTTACATTTTCATACCCGATGCACAAGTATATATAAACAGGTCTATATATGCACATGTATACACTCTTTCGTAACATGTTCAACACAACACGAGGGTAAGAAAAGAAAGAAAAATAGAAAAGAATACATTATGCACAACATTGGTTATCTCTGTGGAACAACTGACAAAATAGTCTTATTTCTTGATTTGAGTTGCACAGAGGATCAAAATCGGCCTTTGTAAGTTTATTAAATACCGTATTTACCCAAATCTAACGCGCCCCCGATTCTAACACGTACCCCAATTCGACAACAAAAAAAAGAGGGAGAGAGAGATCCGATTCTAACACACACCGAAATCGGAAAAAAGAAAAAATGAGACATATATGATTGGGAACGAGCACGTGATTTCAGCAAACGAACGAGAGAAAAAGGGAGCAAAGTATTTTCAGCAAGGAAAAAAAATGTTTATTTACTTAATCTTTATCACTCTCAGAGAGCTCTTTGTCGCTCTCGGACCAGAGCATCTCGTCTTCAGCTTCATCTATAGCATTAGAGATTTCTTGAAGGCTTTCTCAACTATGCCAGATGGAATCCCATTCCAAGCTTCAGGTGCCCACCTTGTGATGTCTTCAGTCGAGGCACGCTTCAGCCTATTGCCTAA